TCAATATTCCTTTAGATAAGTTTGGGGTCTGCTGTTCATTTTCCTAGTTCTATGCTGGGTTACTATCTGGGAGTCCCTCTGGCCACCCTGGCCAACAACTCAAAAGAAGGTATCTCCTATCTGGCACTGTTAGATTTCTAATCAGTGCTCAGCTCAAACACCAGCCGTGGCTCTCCTCCACCTACAGTCTGGAGTCAAAGTAACGTGTTAGCATCAAGGCCTTCACAGGAGAGTCCAACATATCCAGAGCACATGGTCCCACTATTTCTCCCAAGCTGCTACACTCTGCACAAGCTCCGTTTTGTTTTCAGGCCTCCCTCTTTGCTTTTGTTATAACTTCAGCCTCAATGTCCTTTCTCTAATCATGTCTGGCAAAACCGTTCTTGTCTCTCTCTGAAGACTTTGCTCATCTCAACCCCTTTGGTGGCTCCCTAATGGGTATGTTCGCATAGGTATGAGATGTTCATTCCCTTAACAATTGGGAGTTACATGTCACTATGGAACAGCAAACAGGAAGGCCATGAAGTTCCCATCAGTAACAGTGACAATCTAACAGACAAAGCTTTTCCAAGATCATCTCCTACCCTCAGGGGACAGGTGCTTAAAAACCTCCAGACTGCAAGGAATCGGAGTTCATTTTTCTGCCAGAGAGAACTGAGATAACTGGGAGCTACTGTCCACATGGAGAGACTTTCAAGTGTCAACAGTCAAACACCGCCTCCCTCCTGAAAACCTCAGCCAGGACCAATCTGTCTTTAGCTATGAGCTGTTCTAATGACGAATGCCTCCTTCAAATGAGGAGGAATGGGCACGGGCAAGGTGAGATGGCACTTTCAGGTTCCCAGGAGCACTGGCCACTCACCTCAGCGACCACAGAGGGGGTACCCCCATGAATGGTCAGGGCTGTGATGACTACACAGCACGAGATCCTCGGTATTGGGGGAGGGGGCATCTGAAGCTTGTACCAACCGCTATTTTAACAGGCTTGCAAGCAGGCAGGCTTACCGTTGATTAGATACGGATGATTGCAGCACTTTCTCAGTTCCATCATAGTGTTTAAAAGGTTAGGTACGTTAGCTTGTCCACCACCTTTGGAAAGAAATGTAAAATTCTTCTCAAGGATGGCTCGGTAATATTTCTTCTGAATGTTTGTTAGCTCAACTTCAATAATAGTTTCTTCTTTGGGGGCCAAGTTCTTTTCTACATCCTCTTTGAGACGTCTCAACATCATTGGCTTTAGAATAGCCTGAAGTTTTTGCACCTAAAAAAGGACTTCACATCAATATTGGCATCTCCATTTGTTTGCATGTTAAAACATATTCTGACATAAAATGAAGACTATCTTATTTATTTAATATCCATTTTCATTTCTCAAAGCGTAGTAAGGATAAAAAGGAACTTTGATAAGAGAAATGAAGGACGTTTGGGACTATGTCAAATAGAAAAATTCTCCTACCCAGGATTCCTGAACAGGCTGAAGGGCTTGAAAAACGCCTAGCAAGGGAATTTCTGTTTAGTTTTCCCTTCTATTTGTCTTAGTGATGGGGATGAAAAGGAAGAGGGCAGGAACAATGTCCCGGGATGCTACACTTCTCTTCCTTTGTGGAAAGAGCTAAAGAATGACAGGGAGGAAGCTGGGAGTTATTAGTCTCTGCATCAATAACCAAGCAGAGAAGTCTCACTATGGTTTGCTTTTCCACTGATTCATACTACATTGTTCTTAATCTTAGAAAAGATAAACAAAACATTGTACTTTGAACTGAACTAGGAGGTTGGTTGGGGAGGAAGGGAAATAAAGACCAAGATTTCAAGCTTATCACTGTATTTATTTCAAATACAGCACATGGAACACACTAATAAATGCACATCACTAATACTCACACCACCCTTATGGTGCATACAGTAATGAAGAGCTTCTTACACACAGGCTTCTAAGTTCTCCCAGCAATCCTGTGGCCTAGCTGAACCTTCTAAATGAAATACATGGGTTTGAAGAAGTAAGAGATTTGGCCGGTTGCATATGGTTCAGAAATAAGTATAGGGACCCCAAACTTCAGTAGACTAGGTAGCTCTACCAAGCCCAGGGGCTTCTGACACTACCATTAGAAGTAGTCCCTGCAAAGCCACTAAGTTAAATGGCACAGAAATCTCTGGAAATTATGTCTATAAACTAGCTTGCCTTTAAACACCAAGAGGCCTTTGGGGGGCCGAAGGACAAACATATAAACAAGAACACCTTTGTAATGATGACTTGGAAGGTTCTAAGGAATGATACATAGAGCTCTGTTTGCCAGGGTGACAGACACTGTGATATATTTCTTACATTTTAAAATACTCAAATGCTTTGCCATTTCACGGGTTCATCTTCAGTTGCATGACTGAAATGCAAAGTGGAAGGGTAAGTACCTGCTCTTCTGTTTTCAGGTCACCAAATTCTTGCATAAATGTAGTTTCGGAAGGGAAGCGACTTGGCTCCAAGAAATGAAGCAGGCTGAAGAGCTCTTCCACAGTGTTCTGGAGTGGGGTCCCTGTCAGCAGCACTTTGTGTTCCTACAAGAACATAAGGAAAGCAACTCATCAAACTGGAACAAAACCAGCTTCTTAAAACAAACACTACACCACACACACACACACACACACACACACACACACACACACAACCCGCCCTACTTTTGCTCCTTGTGGTAATTCAGCATCCACACTACACAAAGTGTAGAAGAACAAAGAGATAGAGGTAAATACAGTTCCTGCTTCATATGACTAGAATGCAGAGCACCTCAGTCCCTGCAGACACTGAGCATGTGCCCTGCCATTCTGTGTCTTGAGTTTGCTCAGCCGAGATTTTAGTATGATGGCTCTCTACTCTCCCAATCCTGATGTTTCGTCTCTACCACGGTTAAGGTTTCCCTGAAGTCTCTGGCCCTGAGAGCTACATGCTCCCTTCTGTTCCCTGTATCAACAAGGTTCTCATCTTTCCATCTGCTTCCTGCATGACTCATTGTTGAGACAAAAGAAGGGCCTCTAAATGCAACAGCACATGAAAAACTATTTTGTTCTGCAAAAATTTCCAACTAGCAAAGAGGTCAGCTTAGTTTTAAATACCACAATCACTTTTTTAAAAAAAATCAGATGCCATTTCTAACTTTGTCTTTGAACCATGTTAGTCTTTCTTCAGTCAAGTGCTTCCTGTTTACGAGAGCTTCTTCTCCAGCTCTCCTGATGCCGGTGCACCTTGTCCTTCTATTTCTAAACATGCAGAGAAGCTCTTTAAATTGAGCAGGCCTAACAACAGTGAGCCTATAAAAAATGGGGTGGGGTTGAAACCCGGTCTCATGTATCCCCAGATGGCCTTAAATTCACGATCCTCTTGCCTCTACCTTCTGATAACTAGGATTACAAGCACATGTTACCACTTCCAAGTTTTATGCAATGTTGCGGGGGGGGGGATCAAATCTAATGTTTTGTGCATGATAGGAAAGCACTCTACCAACTGACTTACAAAGCCCCCAGTCCCTGAGCTTATAAATTTTAAAAGTCTTATTATTCTCTTCTTTGTTTGGCTATTTGGTGCATAACATAATAAAATTATTTCAGAAAGTAACTGTAGCCATCCAGTAATTTCAAAAGCAGTATTCTGATTGAACTTGAAATCTGACAACACTTAGTTGCCAAGCAGTATATATGTTCACTAAACCCAAATGAAATGATCGAAGAAAGAAAATACTAATTTTCTTGGTAACATCGACCATGTCTTATCTGTCAATGAAGTTCCCTGAAAGTAAGGTAGAGACATTTGATGTTTTAATTCTTCTTTTCCCTCTCTCGCTCAGTAGGTGTCTCTGATTAAAGAAGGTGAATGGACCACCATAATCTTCAGAGTCATTAGGCTCATAAAGTGTAAGGAATTTGCAAATCAATTCAAGATCTACACTGGTAAGTTACGTGGGCCATGATCACTGATATGCCCAAATCCTGCATGACTTGACCCAAGAATGCTTTTATTTAAGATTTTTTTTCAAAGTATAATCACAGTTTGAGGAAAAGAATTATTGCAGCAAAAGAATGGTACTGATTTGACTTTGTCTCACAGTTTTTTCATATCCTTTCTTCCTGGCTTACGCTAAATTCCCAACACCTAACTCAAAAGTTAAAGACTTAAATTCATTTCAAATTAAACTTATTTGAAAAAAGAGCCCCCACCTCGGGCTGCCAGGCATTATCCTTTCCAACCTCGACTGCAGAGGTGGGGATGCTTTGGCTTGAGAAGATTACCATCCTCTTTAGTGCTGATGGAGAATGTGAATTTGGTTTGATTTTGGCAGACTCCTTAAGATGTGTGAAGCCACTTGTCAATGAATAAGGAGATAACAGAACCAACAAAGACCTGTGGCTTCAAGGCAGTCTCTCTTTGTTGATGAGGATCAAGGGGCTGGCTTTCCTTTCCAGAGCTCCTTTTAAGGAATGTGGAGATGATGATTATCCCTGTATCTCTCACATATTTTTGTCTTGGAGGATTGGAGGGCATTTAGTACTCTTCCTTTCTGACTTGGAGATCATTTTCATCAAGCACATGGTCATCCCAACTCAGTCTACTGCCAAGTACCAGCAATCCCAAAGGTCTGCAGCCCCTAGCTAGAGAGAGCTACTTCTCACCATTCTGATGGCAGCTATCTGACTGTGGCAAGCATATAAGTTTAAGTGATGCTTAAGGAAGGACTTAAGCAACAGGCAATGAGTTATTCCGAACGGCAAAAATACAAGCACATCTGACTTTAGACAGTATCCTCCACCTTAAAAACATCTCTCCTGAGTTAAAGATTCCTAGTCACCACAGCTTTCCAGTGCATTAGCTGAAAGCGAGTTACAGGTCTGCTGGGTGCTTTGGGTACCCAGCAGGGCTGTGGTGAGGACTCGTAGGGCTGATCTGTCAGTGGGCAGACTCCTCTGTCTAACTCAGTGTGGCAAATATTACCATTTTTCTGTATGTGTTATTATACACGAAAGTCTGAAAGGCGCTGCGACATGAAACAGAAAAAACATTTCTATACAATATTTTCATAATAAAATGTTAAAGTTCTTTCCTAAATATCCCAACAGCAAGCAAACTTTTTGATGCTGAGAGGTAGGTAAATAAATTTTACTTACCAACAAAGAAGAATTTTGCAATAAGAATCTATTTCGAAGGGGCCAGGCATAGTGGCACACGCCTTTAATCTCAGCACTCGGGAGGCAGAGGTAGGGGGATCTCTGTGAGTTCAAGGCCAGCCTGGTCTACATAGTGAGTTCCATGACAGCTGGGGCTACAGGGAGACCCTGCTTCAA